CGATGACTGATTGTTGCGCCGAGTCCGTGGCTGGACGCATCGGCTGAAACTATGATCGGTAGTTTCGGGTCGTAGTGGCACAAGAGCAGGTCAGAACAAACCATGTCTTTACCTCTTTCGAATGCCTCCTGGCACTCAGGTGTCCACTCGAACTTAGTGTCCTTTAGCGTGAGCTTGTCCAGTGGAGCTCGTACTTCGCGTATCTGCGGGAGGAAACGCCCGTAGTAGTTGAGCGATCCCAGGTAGGACTTGACGGTGTGCACGTCATGAGGTGCTGGCATCTCCTTGAATGCCTTGACGCGAGCCGGGTCGGGTCGGATGCCATTCGCGTCGACGATTCTGCCCAGGAAGTGGATTTCCTTAACAAGCAGTTCGCACTTCTCGAGGTTTAGATGGAAACCGTACGAGGCGAAACGCTCAAATACCTGGAAAAGAGCGTCGATATGCTCCTCGAGTCTTAATCCTCCGACGATGACGTCTTCCAGGTAGCCGCGTGCAAGCGGGATGCCTGCAAGCATTTTGTCCATTACGCTCTGGAAGATGCCCGGAGCGGACTTGACACCGAATGGTAGACGGTTGTACTGGTACAAACCTCGGTGCGTCGTGATTCCACAGAGCTTCTTCGATTCGTCATCGAGCTCGATCTGGAGGTACGCATCTGAAAGGTCCAGAGTAGAGAAGTACTTGCTACCGTTTAGCATGTTAAACATGTCCTCTGGAGTAGGCAGCGGGTGCCCGTTAAGCTCAATCGCATTGTTCAGACCGGTTGAGAAATCAGCGCAAACACGTGGCTTACCGTTTTTCTTAGTGACGGCCACTATCGGAGCGGCCCATTCACTGTAGTCAACGCGGCTGATGGCGCCAGTCTGCTCGAGGCGGTCCAATTCGCCGTCCACAGCCGGTAGAGCACCGTTGGGAACTGGACATTTTCGACAGAACACCGGTTGAGCGTCCTTCTTCAGATGCAGGTGTGCTTTCATTTTGTTGCACTGGCCCAGAGTAGCTGAGAACACGGAAGGGAACCGGTTGTTCAGCGCTTCCTTCAGCTCAGTAGCGCTCGAAATCTTGGGCGGAATCGAAGTTACGGCCGTTTTAGGTGCAGTAGAGCCAGGATGGCGAGCGTTGGTAGCAACTGCGAACGTTGCCGAGCTTTCCATTTGTGCCATCCGCTTGTAGAGGTGTAGTGCTTTGAGCCAGGGCCTTCCTAAAAGACTCTGTGAGCTGTTGGTCACGTAACACTGCAGCACCTTGTGCGGTTCACTGCGGAACTGTACTTTGCAAGTTAGTAAACCGCGTAGCGGAAAGAGGGACTGGTTGTAAGCTCTACCTGTGCGCTCAGTAGGAGATAGAGCGGGCTTACCCAGTTTCTTGTAGGCTTCCATCGATAGGAGCGTAGCGTCTGCCCCCGAATCGGCAATCAACTTCACCGGTTGACCATCGAGCATCAGGTCAATGAAGATCGGTGCAGAGCAATCCGGTGGTGCGTCGGTGTGCACTTTCGGAAGCTTGCCCTTAATGAGGTTTACGTCCGCGTCAGAGTTTGCGAAACGTACTCGAAGGTCCTTCGAATTGTCCTTCTTGGCCTGCGAATTAGTCCGGTTCGGAGATGGAACCTGAATGGACGAAGTGAAGGTTTGCACATGACCCGTGGTGGTCGCATGCGCGTTAGATGTGCCCTTGCGGCATACCTTCTGGATGTGTCCCACTGTGCCGCACGTGTTGCACTTGGCCTCCTTGTACTTGCAGTCGGAGCGCCAGTGCGAGCCTCCGCATCCATTGCAGGGCCTGTCGGGCTTCTTGGAACTGGTACCTGAATTACCGGTTGAGCCTTTGCTTGAATTTTGCCCGTTACGGTTAGGTACCTTCGATCGTGAGCGGCCACGATGTTGCTGCTTGTTGTTGAAGCTTTTCTGACGGTCGTCCTTCCTTCCTCTGGAAGTCGTATTGTACGACGACACCGCGCTTCCTTGCTCGAACCGGGCTGCGCTTGCCCTCACGGAGTAGTATTTGCGGACCTCCTCGATGAGATCTGCAAATTTAGCTGTTTGAGAGTTGGTTTCTTTCAGCTCAAGAAACGCAAGGCAGCGGGATCTCAGTTCAGGCACATCGTTCAGGTTTGAAACCAACCTGAGGCACTTCAGCTGATCCGCGTCCAATGGCGGTGCAGCACATTCGCATGCAGCGTTGAGCTTCGTGGTGAATTCCAGGACATCCGTGCCAGCACCACGCGTCAAGCTAAAGAAGTCATATCGTTTCATGACAAGGGTACGCACTGGGGCAAACAATTTTTGCAACAGTTCCACAGTGGGCTCATACTCCTGCTCGTAGGGAGTTTTTGGCTTGACACTGTCAGCAAAAAGGTCGTACGCAGCCGTATCCAATTTGCCGACTAGCAAACGAACCTTTTGGTTGTCGGTAAGGTTTTGCCATCTTCTGTGATGATGGTGCTGTACCGGTTGTAGTAGGACTCGAAGGTTGCGTCCCCATCTGCATCGTAGCGGAAGACCGGTAGCCGTGTGTTCAGCGAAGAAATAAGCTGCTCTGGGCTTTGAGTAGCTTGACTGGAGCCTGCCGCTCGAATCGCTTCCTGAATGATGAGCTTCAGTTGCGCCTCTGAAATTTCAGGCATTGTCAATCAATAATCGACTTGTCCCGTGACAAGGATTGCTTTTGAAAGACAAGAAATTAGAGCACGTACCTGTCTTGTAGTGCAGTCCAGCGTCCGCACTGTAGAGAAGACAAAGCTCGTCACAACCGGTTGCACGCAGAGCCAGCGTCTGTGCTAAATCAACCGTTGTGATTGGAAAGTGGAAAGACATTCTACCGCTGCATTCTGCAAAACAAGCTAAAATACCTAATGCAATGTTCGAGATATTCTAAAAATGCTGCTTTTTTATGGTTCTAGTATACTGTTGTGTATGCGTTTGTAGCCAAGCTTACTTAGTGAGAAGCTGCTACGAATAAACCGGGTGTTTATTACGCAGAACGACGCAGAAAAGTGTAGCAGTCCGAAGTAGGAATAGCTGGAGAATATTGAGGCACCGACTGGGCTACGTGGAAGTGGGATTATCGACTGACAAGCGTTGGGTCGAAGTCCATAGGATAGGATGCGGTAGCAGGACAACGACACGAAGGCTTGGCGGAGTGACGCAGGGGAATGGAATAAGGAGAAATGTCCTTCACAGGTTTTACCCTGGAAGGAGAAGAAGCAAAGAAGCACACAATGGAGACATTGTTGGCGACAGCACTCAACTGAGCGCTGCGCCGCTCCGTCCGCGTTCATATAGGCGCTCCTTTCGCAGTCGCCTTCACTTGTCGCGGTGGCCTAGTGTATAGCGCCACAGCGCTTCCTCTTTGCATCCCGGGTTCGATGCCCGTCTGGGGAAAAATCTGTGGATCGTTTTAACGCATCCCGGCTGGACGAAGCCTTGTCCAGCAAAGTACTTTTCAGCTGGGCAAATGCTCCGCGGTTTCAAAACGATAGTTCTTCTTACGATAGAAGACCGTCTGCCCTAAAATTGGGCTTCGTAGGATTTCAGTCGTCGATTCATCCTGGGTCGTGTCAACATCGTCGGTCTCAAGCTCTCCCGTCTAGTGCTCCAACGTCGTCTTTTTACCTATTGTTATTCGTGTTCTAGTAGTGCCTTGTAAGTTTTTGTGTCCCGCGTTATTTAGAAGTTCTGTTGAAAGTAAAGGAAAGCGCTTAGCTGTTACAGGAGGCAGTGTGTTCGCTATAAGCTAGGTTGCATTCGTGACTTATAAGCTAGCAAACACACTAGGTTCCCACATGGGGATCTCGGGCCGCGCGAAGCGCGCGCGCGGTAAATGGAAGTAAAGAAAATGCATGATGGTACCATCATGCAAGACGAGAAGTTTGAATATACCCGAGTCATGGATGTATCCAATGGTATAAAACTGCATGATGGTACCATCGTGTAACTTATTTAGCTCGATTTACCTATATTTATGGTACTTTCGTATTAAAGCATAGTGTGGGTAAATATTCAATGTCGGTATGTACCTTATTTTAAGGATATAATTGGAGTTTTGGATAGGTCTAAATTTTAGGTTTAGGTTTTTGGAATACGTGCATATACCCGTTGAGCGGGTGAATTGTCGTTAAATTTTGTGCTTATAGTCTTTTTTTGTTTTAGGTTTTAATTAGAGTAGAACTTACCGTTCCAAATTCCTCTGGTGGGACGACTTGTTCAGCTTGAGCTGCGCCACCTTGGACAGCTGCAGCAGGTCCACCTTGAGCTTCTGGCGCGTCTGTGAGGTCGAGTTCCTGCTCAACCGTCTCTGGATCGTAGACGTCGAGCTCCATTAGTTCCTGCTGGTCAGCAGGCTGGTTTTGCGCTTGAGCGGCCATAGTTTAGTCTAGGAATAAGCTTTGAAATCAGGAGAAGGAAAAACCGGACGCGGTGACGCGAAAGATGATGCCGAATAAGAATGAGTGTTCGGTAGGAGAAGACGGCAAATGGATGACTCCATCTGGTCGGCTTTTGTTTATCTCAGTGCTTAAGTGCACTTGACCCAGTTTCGGGTGCGCAGGATAAACACAGCGGGATATCGGGTTACGCCGGCGTCTGTTGTTTTCGAAATGGGTGTCGTGGGATCGATGCACCGTAGTCAAACGTGTGCAGCGCCATGGCTGGTGGAAAGCGGAACGGGTGTCAGCACATTTCAAATGCGGTGGGATCAATCGATATTGCCAGCCACCCGGGGTGGAAGGAAGTATTTGCCCGTGACATGGGTGTTTACGGCATATACCTATTGGCTTGGTATGTTTGAAACGTCCGTGTAGCTGGGTATATCCGGGTCTCTCATGGGAATGGGCATATATGTAATTAAAAAAAATGTGATGATACTATCATGCCAAAAAAATGTTCAATAATCCCTATATTATGGGAATATATGGAAACCCCAGTTTTTCTGATTAACCTTTGCACAGGGTTTATTTGAATGTTCCTACGAGACCGGTGTATACAACGAAAAAAAATAACAACTGGTTGGAATCGAACCAACTCCTACAGATGCCAAATACCCGTCGCGCTACCAATACGCTACAGTTGTTATTTTCTGATCGGTCTTCGTTTGTAGCCTAATTCTGAAAATTCGTGATATGTATCTGGAGCAAGGGTCATTATAAATATGTCATTATGAAGGGTGAATCGAGATATATCTTGGTCGATGGCATATTTGAACAAAAAAGAAATCATGGTGATACCATCGTGTCCATGAAAGACCCTAATATACGCATGTAGTAGGTGTATTCACCAATAAGTATGATATACCATGTAGATGGGTAACGTACATAAATACCTGATATAGGGGTGCATCGAGACAATTTAAATTACTGAACCATGTATCACGGTTTTTTTTCTTGTGGATTTACCCATTCTATGGGCGTATCTGGATCCACATTGAACTGATATGCCCAGTGGATGGGTATATACGAATGAGCCTTAGATTTGGTAATATCATCCAGGAAAAAAAAAGTTAGTATCACTTTTAAGACACTGGTGTCGTCTGCTGTTCGTGGCGAGCGCAAGTCGTCTAGCGTTCGGATGCGTGCAACTGACATAAAAAGAGTGCAGAGCGTGCGAGCTGGCGTGGCATTGGGGGAGATCGCTCAGCAAAAGTGTACGATCTCAATCTCCATCGTTGCGCCGGGAAAGATCTCGAGTTTGTGTGAGGGAGTTGTGTGTGTTTGTGTGGCTCTGTACTTTTTGTTTTTCAACTAGGCGGAGTATAACAAGTTTTTATTTTGTTCGTATTTTCCGCATAGATGGGTGACAGACATGAGTTATTAATCTTTTTCTTTCTTCTGGAAGTAGTCGGTCACTTTGCTCTGAGTGTTGGCTGTAGTAGTCACGCGGTCCACGAGTATGTCGGGATCCGGCTTGTGTGCAGTGATCGGCGTAGTGTAGTCGCGAATGTCGGTTTGCTTCGATGTTCCTGTGCTCCCTGTTTGGGTGTTCTCGGTCGGTTTCGGAGCGGACATGCTAAAGACGTGTCAAAGAAGTAACAAAATGAGTTTGAAGTAGGTAATTGTGCTAACATTGGTAGATGGACGGCGTTGTTATTTCCTTTCATTTTTATTGTTATTAACAAGACATACAATAACTGGTAACGAATATCACAACTACTTCTCGTTGTAGATGTTGAATGAGAGACCGAGCGACTTGACGTTAGGGTTTTCTGGGAAAAGCCTTGTCGGTTCACGCGAGGCGCAGCTCGTAGCAGGATCGCGTGGCCAAAAACGCCACATCTCCTTGATTTGTCTGCGAATGGCCTCCTTGATGTTCTCTTGGCCCGCTACGAACCACTGACCCCATTCGATGGTAGTGGTGACGATGATCATCTTCGCATGCATTGGTATGTAGCCTCTGTTGACCGTTCCCATCGGAGCGGTTCCTTTGGCCACCTAAAGCATTGGTGTTCAAATATGCATTCGTGTGTTAGTGGGGACCTGCAGTATGTCGGCGATGGACATTGCATGTTTGCACGTGACGTCACCGTCGAATTCGGAGATGATCACGACTTCGTCGTTTAAGTAGCCGTCCCAGAAGTTCCATCGAGGGTTGTGGACGTATGCGCCGGGCCATTTCTGCATGAGGGCTTCCTTCTTGAACGAGTCTAAAGGTACAGCTGCATTGACGTTTTATCAATTGTGGTTTTCTACAAACCTGGAGGACCGCGAATGACGACGATGGGGATGTTGCGTGAGTCTTCGACATCTGCTCCGTAAACGGTTGCCATAACTGGATAAACTTTACTGACTGTTTGTGGCGGATTAATGTAAAGAGATATGAACGAATGAACGTTTGACGGTGTATAAAGGCGGCTAGGTCTAACTTTAAAGTACTTTATTGGAAACGATTAATCCATCCAGTCGAAATCATAGCCAGCGGAAGGAGCTTTTGGGTCAACGGGGAAGATGCGCATTGGGAGATTCTGCGACGATGGAATTCCAGCGAGCGGGAATTGCCAGATCTCCGTAATGCGGTGGTTCAGCATCGCGATGTCGACGTCGTCGTATGTGGTTCTAGGGAACCATTCCTTCCAGTCGCGAGGGCCGACGAGGATGAGCGTCTTGATGGCGGCGTTTTCCATTTTGAAAGTGCTTGAGTGCGGAAGGATGCATCCTGGCTGGTCAACGATCTAAAGGAGGGATGTGGTTTGTTTGTCTTGTGTCTTTTGTTTACCTGTAGAAGGTGTTCGAACGCGAAGGTTGTGGTAGACACCTTCGGAATCGGCCAGATGATGTTGTCGACGATGGCGACGGTCTGAGAAGTGTAGCCGTGCCAGTCCTTAGTGTAGGGAGCCTTCCAGTACGCTGCTGGGTATCGTTGTCGAAGGACGTGGGTCTTGCCGCTGTTTGGAGGCCCTTGGACGAGCACCAAGTGGACATTCGTGGACGTGTCTTCGAACATCTTCAGATTTCTAGGTTCGTAAAAATTGTCCATATGTACCTGTTTACTGGGTAAATAAGCTGGATATTAGTTGGTTATACACCCTACGTATGGGCATATTCGTATTAAAAAAAATGTCCCGATGGTAGACTCATGATGAAAAATTTGTCTTTATATACCACTTAATTAGGCATATTACTCTTGATTTTTGCCGGAAGGTAGATATGAAGATTAGTTTTCTTCTGTTTCCCGGGTATGCACCTAATTAAAAGGTATATCGGAATGTACCGTGTGGGTTTTTCCTATATATTATATACATGTTTTTTTATAAAAAAATCTATAATCAAATATACCAAATAGGCGGGTGGATCCTTCTAAAGTTCCCAAGGGAAATTTGGAAAAATACCGGCCTATTGGGTATATTCAAAATGTAAAAAATAGTTATATATGCCTAATAGGCGGGTGTATGTACGTGAAATGGGGCAACGGGTTTTGAGACATATTCCCGCCTATAGGGTATATTGGAACATTTTTAAAAATTAAAAAAATATAAAAATTGTATATACCCAATAGGGGGGTACGTGTTATTCAATGGCAGTAAATATTTGTTTCGGTGGTTTAAACCGTTCATGCCTTTGGGTCTGACTTTTGTATACGTTTTATTACAAGTTGTTAAATTTTAGAACGTGATAAGCATGAGTACATATTAGATGGTTATGGGAAGACGATTTCTTTAGTGCCGGGGAGTACAGGAAGTACTTCTAGTCCGTTGATGACGTACTGGAGCACCGTCTTGCTTGAGGTGCTGCTTTCGAATGAAATGTAGCCGGCAATGGTGGATTTGTTGAACCACCAGACGGAGAAGTAGGGCACGATTGGGTGACAGCTGGCGAAGTGGTATTTCGGCTGGCAGTTCAGGATATGTGCACCATGGCGGCCGTATTCCTCCAGTCGTTCTTGGAGCTCGCTGATTTGGAGCTGCGATGGGTCGCGTAGAAGGAATACGAATGAGCGAGCCTTCACGTTGTTCTTCATGGAGCTAAATGGGCCAATATGCCATTGTAAAGGGTACATACCGTTCAAAAAAGTGTCAAATATGCCCTCAAGAATGGTGAATCATGCAAAAAAATATTTTGGTGATTGATGGTATTATGTGGATAAAATCGGTGGATTGACCTATGTATTTGGTATTTAATGGATATACTCTGAAAAGTGGGTATTTATAGCAATGTCATTATGCATGGTAAATGCAGGCGGTTTAGTAGGCTTGATGCAACTATCGTGATTATTTAATGCTCGTTATGTACGTTACCCATGGGTATATTGATATATGCCCCGTGCGTGGGGGGATTGCTAAATACCCATATGAATGGGTTTTTTGAATGAACGTTCGGGTATGGCATATCGTAGCTTGAATTCTTGGGTGATGATACTATCGTGTATTTTTTTTTACTCGGATAAACCTGGTAGATGGGGATATCTGTATTTCCGTTTGAAGCATATACCCGTTATATAGGCAAATTGGCTTGATCAGAAAACAGGTATATATTGAGTGCTGAACTCAATGATGTGGTAGGGTTTTCGAATTAAGATCAAACCGCTTTATTTGGCTAGAATAAGCAAGTACAAACTATCTAGTTCAATTTAGAAGAATGAGTTAATAAGATTTCACAGCAATGATAATGAAGTTGACACAAAATGGTTCTTTGGCATACATATTTGGAAGATGAAAAATTATCAAAGTTTGGAATAAGTGTGCAAATTATTAGTTAACATCGGGAAGAGTAGTGCTAGAAGTGGAGGGTCGAGCTCCAGGGTTAGTAGGTAGGCGCGTGACGGTGAAATTTGGGCCGTACGCGGTTCGAGTGCTCGATGGTCCGGTGGGCAGCTGGTTGTTGGCTGCGACTGTCGCTGCCAGCATGAGGCCGGTCGGATTCAATCCCGGTGTTATTGGGAGCGATGGAGGAGCTGGAGGCCTAGCTGTCGGAGGAGCCAGCGTTGTCAGGTACCCGGTTGCTGGGAACGGAGGTAGTGGCGGAAGCTGTGCCGGCGTAGTTGTTGGTGTCGGTGCTGTCGTAGGAGCAGTTGTGGTTGGCGGGAACAGTACGCGAGCGGCACCGTTGTTAGGCGTATGTGTCGGCGTAGTCGCTTGTGAGCTGTTCGTAGTTCCGACGCCGCCGCCGATCTCCATCAGCCACTTGATCCGGTCTTGAGTGTCCTTCTCCGGCGAGAAGTCAGATTTCGAGAAGTCCAGGCCGATTGGTGGCTTCACCTGGCCATGGTGGTCCAATTGCGCATAGGTGCGCTCGGGCATGCGAGTCCAGCGGTTTGTAGCTGGGTCGATGCTGTGGAACTTCCATATTTCGGTGATGCGTCGTTGGAATGGTTCGAGGTCCTCATCGGTGTATTCGTCGTGGGGGAACCAATCGCGCCACTTCTTGTTGGTGGTGATGATGATAAGTTCCGCTGCAATCGGCTCCGTGGCACATTTGACCTCGACTTGTACTGGTTGTCGTTCGCAGACCTAGAAAGGTGCTTGTAATAAGAATGGATTGTTGTGTGTTCGTACCTGAAGCAGTTGTTGGTAGCTGAACTGCGTGTCCTTCTTGGACATGGACCGGAGCTCGTCGATGATTATCACCTTCTGGCCTCTGTAGC